TACTAGAATACCTACTTCAAATTTTTTTTTTATTAGTATTACATTTTAATTTCAAAGCAAGTTAAGAATGTTTTAAGATTTACAAACAATTTACAATTTTAAAATACTTTTAATTAGCAATAAAATTAAAATATAATAAAAAGCATACCTATATAGTATATAATATGCAATGCCTGAGATAATAATTTTAGTTTTAAATTTTATAAGAAGTTAATTTACTCAAATTTTTAAATTAACTGAGCTTAACWTGATTTTATAAGTGTAAATTATGTTACACATTTGTATGACATAGGGAAAAAATGTCTGTGTAACATCCTCTTAATTTATCTAATCGCTTATGGTATTTCCCAATATTTTGAAARCAATTTCTTAAAGTTAAAATTATGGTGTAAGGCCGTTTTAAGTTTATCAAAATAAAAATGATAATACTTTAATATGTTATATTTCAAGTGTGATCACAACTCGAGCCATGGATTGAAGACCCATGATATAAGATCTATATGATGAATGAATAGGTCAATAAATACATTTAAAATTGTAAACCATTGATGGCACACAAGGACAATTGGACACAATTCATTATGGTTTTGGACGTTTTGATGTCCATTATTCTATAATGATACCCAATAAGWAGACATAACATATTAATTATACATTAGGCACTAATTGTGCTATACAACGAGTGATTAGATAATGATGAAAATTACCTTATCGTCTTCAGTGTACTTAGGCATGTCAGGGTAAATGTAAATAGTGACATCATTTGGCGCTAAAAGAGCAGCGTGTATCGCAGTGCTTTTGCCCGCTATCTCTCTGCTGTGCTTGATAATGTCAATTTTGAACGGTAACTAAAAAACGTTWGCAAATAAATACAACAGCTTACACGTAACAGTGATGTTTGTGAGCTAGGTACCTTAACCATGGGTATTTTATTTTCGATGTCGGCATTTAAAGTGTAACATGTATAGCAAAAGTATTTTCTAGACTTAGAACACTTGCGGCAAGGTTGCCGTTCGTTTATGTTGAACAGTGTTTGCCAATTGTCGGAGATCTCCATTCCTTCAAACGGATTCATCTTTACAATATTCTAATACAGTGGTTTACGACGCTTATGTTTAGGTGAGTAAAAGTACCGAAATAAAACATGAATATTTTCAATTTCAATTGCACAACATAACACATAAATAATATTATCCTTATGACTTTATCTATAGTCACGATTAGATAGTTGGAATGAAAATAAAAATTACATAACAAATAATATTATTATTACGTGACCTTATCAACGCACTTGCAGTGATAACAAATTATCAATATTGTGATATTTTAAAATGTCAAATAATGGTAATTTTAWAATTGAATTTATTTACGATATATTTTCGGATACATTTTTTTTTTTTGCAAACCATTCTCTTCCGTTAAAAATTTCGGAACGAATGCATAAAAAAAATTATGATATTTCCAGTTTTTTTTTTCAACCACGAAACATATTTAGTCACGGGCGTTGCACGTTTTTAGCAATCGCGGGCATTCAACACTTTGGGCACGTCTGTCCAAAACGTCAATAACAACGTTGATAACAAACGAGTTCCCCGACTGCGGTTTGAACTTTATATAATTAAAAATCCATACCTTAGTATAATATTTTGCTACGTTAGCTTTTATGGTAATTAAACTGACAATGGACGGTGTTGGACGTTTGGGTTTAGTAWATTATTTGAATTAATCACGTTCAATCGACCAGAAATTGTTTTAACACCAGCAGGTATGTAAAATATAAATTATATAACAAGTCAAATGTCGAGTTTAATTGATTTTCGATAAATAAGTAATTTAGTAGTAGACAGTAGTTACATATATGATATAATTATGCACCCAAAGAAATAAAAAATTACATAAATGTTCTCATATATTAACTTTGTGTATTTATTTTACATTTTACACAAACATTAGACAATTTAAATGTAAATTTTTTGAGGATTAGATTTCTTACATCATTAATTTATAGGATTTGGATGGTTTCCAAGAAAATAATTGCTCAGCATAACTGAAATGTTTAAATATATTTTTAGTTTATTTACCTCCTGAATGTTTAACCATTCTTATGACTTGAAATCTATGATTTTACAGGAACGATGAAGAAATTTATTATATCTTTACTACTGTTCCATATAATTCTGCCATTGAGCTTACTAATATGTGAGTATTATAATATTTAGTTTTAATTAATATTATATAAAAAATACTCTATCAAATTCAATATAATTTGGTATACCTAATATAATATTTGAAATGAAAATCTAAGATTGGTTTACCTACTGATTTTATTTTTTGTTTTGTTTAAATATGGATTATACAATATTATAGAGACACCCAGTGGCGCAACCAGGGGTGGGTTTGGGGGTTGTGACCCTTCCCGAAATGTTTTTTAAAGTCAGATATTTCAAAGTGAAGACACTTCATTAAGTGAAGACTTTTTTTTTTGCTAATTTATTTTTTTATATGTATAACCCCTCCCGAAAATAGATCCTAGTTGCGCCACTGGAGACACCTATTCAGACATTTTCATTCAACGTCTCCCTTGTCTCTTCAAAACATTTTAGTACTCTCATATTTAAGGACACATAAATAAAATGTTAAATGGTAAATTATGCTTTGAAAATTGAAATTTATGTTATTTATGTTTAAACTAAAATAATATATTAACTGTCATCATCATTGTTTTTTCCTTTTCTTTGTGCCAGAGGGTGTCATATTTTTACCCCGTTGGGTTATTTCTGTCTTATTAAATATGATAAAGCAATTAAAGTATATTTACCATAGTCTGAAAATAGTCAATAATTCATATCTTTCCTTCCTTTTAAAAATGATGAGCACACCACTGGTTGCCTTGACAATTACTTACTATGTCTCTGGAGCTGTGATGCACGGTTTACATATTTTTGTTATGTAATAATAGTATTTTATGTTAGTTGATAGTATTATTAATATTAGTGTTATTATAGCTTAGGTTTTGTAGATAATGTATACCAGGGGTGGCCAAGTTTTGGCTGCGTCATAGTCRTATGTGGCTTGCGTCTTTTTAATAAAAACCTATATTTATTMATTAACGATAAAATGTATTTACAAACATTTTCGCTCTTTATATCATTGAATTTATCCAATTAATGTGGCTCGTTGACGTATTCATGTTGGTCACTCCTGATATATAGGTAGGTAAGTGATATATTGGTACAAGAATTAAGATAAATTCATTTAAGGAGTTATTAATTTTTGAGTTAAGAGGCACTTATAGTTTCTATTAAAGATTAGATTTAGAATTAGAATCGCCTTAATTTAGAAAATTGGTTTCATAAATATATCACTAGTACTATATTCAAAATAATTTAATAATACTGTGAAACTTATATTTCTTAACGAATACAATTTTAAGGTTCCTGCAAATAAAAATATTTTTTAGCATATTTTAACTTGTATATAGATTCTATTACTCACATGGACAGTTGTATTTCTCAACATTAGCATGTTAATAGATTATATTAGCTTACAACTTGAAGCTCTAATATAATTAGCAAAAAGTAGTTCAAATAAACCTACCTATCACTCCTAYATTTAGATAACATACTATGTTCAACCAATCTTATTTTAACCTGAAATTAATACCACTAAGTATAAAAAATACATCCTCGTTAATATCATGTTATTATATTAATTTTTGAATTATTCTTTTTTTTTTTTTTAAACACATAATTTTTCTAATATAACTTATAACTTCTTTTTAATTACTAATTATTTAATTATTTTGCTAAGTATTTCTAATAATAAATACACTAATGTACCTACATATAATTATTATATATACTTTTTATAAATTTCAATTCAAATTTGCATTTTATTATTTTTATTTTACATAAAAATAAATTTTACTAAAAAAAACTGCCTGCAACAGATACCTGTCTTTAATACTCACTTTATGATAGACATGATGRACTAGTTTGACTGTAATATTATGCTCATTCTGAATCTAGATATTTATATAATGAAAAATTCAATGCATTTTCACGATGAATATATTTATAAATTTTCCAATTTATAAGAATAATTTATTTTAAAATTATCCATATCAAATACCTAACATTATTTATAAATTGTATTTGGTTCAGATCTGTTTTCTATAACTAGTTATTACTCAATAATCATTAGTTTTTCTTAAAAATATTTATTGTTATAAATATTTGTCTAATTTAGTTCATTCTATGAGTTGTATGAACTATGGCCATAATAAAATAGGTATCTAGTTGAATACCTATTAGGTATTATTATAATTTTCATGTAACAATAAGATAACACGATCATTTTAATTGATGATAATTAGTTTAAACATCAACACATTAATAAGAATTTTGATTTTTAAACAATTGATGAATTTCAATGCATCATACATTATATCTATTAGATTAATACATAATTATTACTTATTTTAGAATTATCAATATTAAATACTTAGCATAAACATTAGTTTTATTTTATTAATACCTTAAAAAAAATATTTTTAGTTGTTATTTTACTATTTCACTGTTTCACTTTTTCAAATTGAATTGAATTTATACTTCAATTTATTCTAAAACTATATATCTTGACAGTATCCGAACTCCTTTCTAACGATACTTGAACAGTTGAACACTGAATAGTTATTGGGTATTACTATTTATTTTTGTAGAACAACAAGATGGCATAATTCATAATACGTTATTGATAGTAATTTAATCCATAACACATTATTAATAGCACTTAATAAAACATAAAAAATAATGATAAATACCATGTTTGATATGCAGTGGATTAATACATAATATAAGTAGGTATTATTATAATTCTAGGAAGTAATAACATATAATAAACCAAAATATTTTCATACAGTAAAGAAAGTATTAAACATTATATATTTACATTATTTTATGATCGTTCTTTTCTGTAGTTATTAGTATTAATGGTTTTTGTTTTAATATTGATAGTGTCATATTGTTTTCCATGCTCAAGGATATAACTGTAGGAAWCCTGACCTTCCCTTAATTTTTTTAAAGTAGAACAATTTTGAGAGTGAATATTGTTTATTCATTATTGTATTAACAATAGCTTTTTGTTTTCATTAATACCACTATTACAAGAATTAAGAATTTTATATGAACTTAAAAATGATGAATGTCCAATCTATGTCATAAAAAAAAATTTGGACTGAAATTTGTTGTCAGTTATGGCCTTGTA